CATGATATTTTTCCAAGCTCCGTGGTAAATTGGATTAAGTTGGTGATTAAGATCGCTATTTATTATCCATAGATTTTCTTGCCTTGTTTCTTTTACCCACGACGTGATTTTATGAATTATTAAATTTGTCCAGTTTACCGATGTAGATAAAATTTTATCTTTTTATCTCTTTATCTGCCACGCCAGTAGGGCTGGTAGATTAACAAATCACATCGTGACAGATACTTTACATTAGACCATTCACCAGCAATCTTAGCTTTTTAAGTGTTAGGGCGACTTTCATTTGGTATGAAAGTGCACGAAGAAGAGATTCGTAGGTCGATCTCACCAGATGAGGACTGATGAATTGCGTTGTACTGCAGCCGTTTGGCTTTTATGCGATATTCCTGTTGATGTAGTCCGCGAGACCTCCTTCCTCGGTTCGGCTGAAAACGGGCTGAACTTTCGCCCGTCAAATGATGGACATCATCAGAGCTGGGTGTCATTCCTGTTAAAGTCTAACGTTAACAATGGGGCAAGAAGACTATCCGGCTCTATCTTACCTCTGATATAGACTCAATAAAGAAAAAGAAAATTAAAAAACCTAGATAGATATAGAATGGTTTGGCTAATTATCTTTCATATTGGTCCCGCTAACCCTTTTCTAGGGTTTGTGTGTGTGTGTGTATGTGTCTTGAAGACACTACCGGTGCTAAAACAGTGTTCTAAAGACTAATGTCAGGCTATAGTCACTAAGGCTTAGTCACGCAGGAAAAGGCTCTGACCGAGACTGTGTATGTCCGTCGGCAAGTATGGCTGAGATAATGAGATGTAGGATTCTAAGCATGTAAGTCAAGCTACCAAACCATTTATCCCAACCTCTCAGTCTAGGGTGATTAACGCGTAACCACCCAAGGGAAGGTATGACTGGAGCTGCGTAATCTCGTATGTCTGGTTTGGTTGATGAGCTTAATTTAATGTGTTGAACGAGTGTGAGTGAAGTGAGAACCATCAATGGATGGACAGGATGAGCCATCTTCTTTTGGATGGCGGCTCAACACCCTCACTCTCCTTCAATCAATCAAGCACGAGTAGTTACAATTGTTTACCACGGTTACTCAAATTCAGCATATTTCTTAATCCATTTATTTCAATAGCGCCGCTTATCTTTATTTTAACAGCAGACGTACCACAATCAGCAGACTTACTAGTTTGAGACTCTGGCATGTCTTTGGTCACTTCTGACCACTGAACCCAGTTTCTTTTACAAGCATTTTTGTGTTCTCCGAATCTTTGTCAAAATAGGCTGGCGAGTCACACGCACGTAAGATCGCCACAGGAGCAAACAATCTCTCTAAAAGATGGCATGACAGAAGAAAATGTGAGGATTTCCTTAAACACTTTTTTCTTATCCTCCACTTTCTAAGAAAGAAGACATGATGGCAGGATTAGGAACTGATAGATGGTCTCAGCTTGTCTATCTTTCAATGGAAGCCTTCGTCGGAAAATCTATTCCTCGGTAAAGAGATATTATTCTCAATTAGGACCAAAAGATA